ATCTTAAAGGAGTGTAGGAGTTTGTATTCGTAGAATAATATATCCAAGCAAGTATTCTACTTAAATAGTTGTCTAAGTGATACTTGACAAATACTTCCAGCCGTAAGCCAACTATAATAATAGTTCTTTAGTCTTCTATTAAGGAGTCAAGGCTAAGACATATCTATTTCATCTCTCTTTCAGTTAGACTCAGATTGAAACTCTTGTTCTTAATCGCTATAGAGAAGTTTTGTAATTATTCTTGCTATATTAACTATAATTTATAGTTCAGTTTTTGTAAAAAAACTGGTACAGGTGATCGTTAGGAAGAGTTGATCGAATGCTATGTTGTATATAGTAAAATATATATATATATATATATATATTTATTTATTTAATTAAATTAATAATTTAACTAAAAATATTTAATAAATAAGTTCTATATTGTTTTAAATTTAAAGAACTTACATCTAAAGTAATTTAAAAACAAGATAAACTAAATATTAATAACTAAAATAAAAAAAAAAAATAACTAAAGTAAAAAAAAAATTAAAAACTAAGATGAAGAAAAAAATTAAAAACTAGCTCTTGAAGCAATGCCTAGATCTATAAGCTAAATAAAATTAAAAACTAAGATAAAAAAAATTAAGAACTAGCTCTCAAAGCAATGTCCAGATCTATGAGCTAGATAAAATAAAGAAAATAATTAGAAACTAAAAGTAAAAAATTAAAAACTAAGATTAAGAAAAAAATTAAGAACTAAGATAAAGAAAAAAATTAGAAACTAGCTTCCGAAGCAACGCCCGGGTCTATGAGCTAGTTATTATTAATAAAACGTTAAAGTATGATACGTACGTATCAACGTAGCTTTTTCTGCATACCGGTACATTAGAATTTTTTATTATAAATACGCGAAATTATTTTATCAGGAATAATCAAGAAATATTTTCAAAAAAATTTTTTATTCAGTTTTTTAAGTAGGCGAGAAATAATAAAGAACCCTTCGATTATGATTGGTTAAATTTTTTGCCATTACGAATTAGTTTTATTAAAAACCGGTTTGACGTAACTGATCATTTTTATATTGTCGTAAATGAATTATGGCCACAAGTTTGTACCTATATTATGTCCCTTCCCACTAGTCACCAAAGATATAAAGATCTTTTAATTTTTGAAGAAAGACTGAAACAAAATTTACATCAATTACAAAGACGTAGTTATAAATACGAAGGTAAACGTAGTTATTTCTTCATTAGAGCTTATAATGGCTTTTTTTAATTTTAATTTCTTTTTATTTTTTTTTAAAGCTTTCTTGGGATCGATTTGTTTGCTACTTCCTATTTTATTGTATGCTGTCTTTGTATATGACAATGATGTAGGTTCATTTTATTTCATTTTAGATCTTTAAATCTATTGTTCATTGATAAATAATAATTTATATATATAACTTGCACTAGAACCCTACATTTCAGTTTCTCAGTAAATTATCACTTTTCGTTGATATTTTTCTTTTCGGGATATGTTTTCTTTTTTTCCCAAGCTTCCATGTCTTTGCATCGGCTCTTCCAGATTTCTTTGTATAATAGTTCCATCCAGATGTGCCA